AAATAGTAATAATTAAACTTAAAATTGCATTTTTTCTATCACCGAATACAATAGAGTGATGTGCCCATGTAATTGTTGCTCCTGATGATAATAAAATTATAGTATTTAATAAAGGAATACCCCAAGCATTAACAGTCTCAATACCTAATGGTGGCCATAACGACCCAATCTCTGGGGTGGGTGCTAAAGCAGAATGAAAAAAAGCCCAAAAAAAACTAATAAAAAATAGTAAAGTCTTGCCGTGATCGACGTGGCCAATAGTGCCAACGTTAAGATGAGGCTTGGTGCGGTCGAACGTAGCCATCGAGCGCGTGGCGGAGCGGCTGCCGGCCTTGGCCGACGTGGCCAGGAGCTTACGGAGGAACACCATTAGATCGAATCGAGAGGGTCTTTGACTGTGCGGCTATGCGGAAACTGAGCCGAGTGGCTGTGCGGCTGAGAGGCAAGGATGGGTGACATGAATTGTTACACTTGGGTTTGATAACTTTCTTGGATGGGGTGTCGAAAAATCGTGTGGTTGGCAGAAAAAAAAAGAGTTTTGGCCGACCCTCTGAATAAACCGAAAAGGTGAAATTGGTCCCAAATTAGGGATTTTCGTAAATTACATTTAAATAAAAACGTTTTTTATAAAAAGCGTTTGAATTTTTTCAAAGCAGCTTTTGAAAAAAATGCTTTCAAAAAATATTCCGACCTCCTCATGGTGCGAGTAAGGTTCGAGATCGTAAGTAGAGAAGGAGAATCCTTGGCGTCTGCAGAGTATTAAGACTTCCCAAAAGCGGCAACACCGTTGCAGACGCTGGGCGTGCACAAGTGCCAAACACACCAGGACCCCCACAGTTTTTTTTTTATGAAACATGGTTGTCACTTAGTTACACTAACGACATCCTATGACCTCGCCGGCGGCCGTCTCAATCCACCCACCCTGCCTTATGACCCAAGGTCACAAGGATGCCCCATCACCTTACAGTGATGAGGCCACGGATCTCGAAAAATTCTCATGTTGGTCTCGCTGTAACCAGTGGCCAACATCGTTGACCGCCTGAGCGTAAATGGTAGCCCAGCGCTCGAAAGGGCTAGATTCGTGCGTGAGTCGAACTTGAACGCTACGACGGGCGTCCATCGCCATGTTAGCTAGAGCGTCAGCCATCCTGTTGTGCTCCCTGTAATGGTGCCTCCAGGACAGCACTGTCCGCTGTCCCGCCACTCGTTGGCATTGAAAATTAACCGCCCTGAGGTGATGCGCCTTGGGAGGACGCCTGCGTCGGTGCTGGTTCAGCATCAGCTGACTGTCACCTACTACGTGGAGAGGCGACCAGCCCGCCTGTAGACAGGCCCGGAGCCCCGTGAGTAGTCCAAGCGACTCCGCAAGATTGTTGGTCATTCTCGGTGACCCGTAGGCCATAATACCCACCCAGCACAGATTATAGCTAGCCGCGTCCGTCCCCAAGGACACTACGACCGCTCCACTCCCCCCCCCTCCCCGGACCGGGATTTCCATGGGATCCCCGATCGAAAAATAGAAAAAATCGCGTGGAGCCCACGGTGCCGCGGCCACACGGGACAACACCCTTATCTCTGAAAACCCTTCTTGTAACGTTGATCGCACGTTCATAATGGAGTTGAGCAGCTTTAAGGCGTAGGTGGTGATGCACCGTGTCATAACTACATGCCAAACGCGACCTCAATACGGTCGTGTGGTAGTTCACAGCGACGTTGTTGAGAGAATCGAAAAAGCGACTCTCCACCACCAGACGCCGTGCAGGTATAGCGCCGCTCCGAGTCACCAACAGCTTTCAGCTACGTCCGTGAGGACCGGCGTGAGCTGGTCTAAATCCATGGCGGTCATGGACGGGTACAAGTGAGACACATCAGTCCATACTTCCTTGGGTAGTCTGGGCAACGCAAGCCCAAAGATCGATTCGATCAGAGCCGGGGTCCCCAGATCCTCACACCGTCACCGACGCAGAAACACCCGACGAAGCGCTGCGGCCGCCGGGCAGGACCAAAAGACATGAAAAAGGTTCACATGACGAGCTCGAAAGCACTCCGGGTGGGGACATCCCGGGAAGCCTCGCGTAGGGTCGTACAGCGAGCACGCATAGTTCTTGATTCGAATGAGGAGCTGCTCTCCCCCATGGTCCAAGTCCGACTATTCGGCGAAGACGCTTCCATTCCAGAGCATCCAGCCCCACACGCACTTGTCACTTAGCCACCTCCCAGCGTGTCGACCGCCTGATCGAGCTGGCCCCCCCTTTTTGGTTGGGCCGAGCCGCCGCGGCAGCACGATACTGCCTCCGAGATCTATGCCAGAAGATCCGAGCTCGCCGTAGGCATACGAGGCGGCTGAGCCGAGGGTGGGGATGTACCGCTAGTACCGTGACCTCGGAACGCAGCGCAGTGGCGACGCTCCGAGCTAGTTTCCCGCTGCTGAGCATTTGGCTAATCGGGCGCCATTGTCCTGGCGCTGTCGTGGCCCAGGCCGTGGGGGGCATGTCAAAGTCGAGTTCTACCGTCAGCGGGTGGTCCTCTAGCACTGCACGGATGCGCCCTCCGAGCTGTGGGAGGTCGCGCTCAGGAGTCCAGGGAAACTGATGAGGAGGGCGAGGAGGAACTGTTCCATCTAAAGCCGGGTTCGCTGCGTCAGCTGCGATTGCCGGGTACAGCAGAATGCAGTGCAGGACGGCCCGGTCTCCTGCCCCGCCGCCAGTGTACAATATCGCGAACAAGGCTGATGTGAGCGCATGAAAAGTTCCGAAGTGCTTACCACTGACCACTCGACCACTGAGCCCATCGTACAGCTGTAGATCGTTCAGGGCTGCATACGGGCAACCACTTCTGGTACACCAGCGGCCCCGAACGTGGCCAACTTCTTGCGTGCGATGGAAAGACCCGCCATTGTTGTGGAAGGTTCTTGAGGCGGGGAAACTATCCGGATCCAGACAGGCGGTAACCCCACCCGACCTTCCCA